AGATTTTCTCCCTATATATAGAAAATACTATTTAGATATCCATCATCGTTCATTGAGAAACGATTTCAAAACTTTTTTTCTGAATATATAAATTCGTCATCATTTTTACCGTTTATTGATAATGAAACTCAATTTGTAACTATGCGTAATAAGATACTCAATCTACCCACTGCTCGTCAATCACAAGTATCGATAAGTGCAGCAACCGCCGACATTGACAATGACCAAACCTATGAACCACAGAACGAACCGATAACAACAACAGCAACAACAGTTCAAGAACGAAACAAGAAAGAACATGCTCGTGGAAGTAAATTAATCGTCCATTATACACATGAAAAACGATTTCAAACATTTAAATCAGACATCCATCAAGTCTATGGTAATGTATTCAAAGATACACCTGCTGCCGACGTTAAATTGATTGTTGGCAATAAAAATCGTCGTTCGGCGAAAACTGAACTTATTTGTAAACGACCAAAACAATCATTACTTATCAATAAGCCATTCAAAAGTAAGCCATCTAAAGTAGAAATCAATAGAGAATAAACGACACACAACTTTTTCACTTTATTTTCTTTTCCTAGAACGACAAAGAAAAAGACAACAATCACGGAAAGAAAATATATCTGATCCCATGAACAAATAATCAACAACATCATAAGCAGAATACATCAGTCTTCAAGTCACCACAAAACATAAACAACTGAATAACAACTGATTTTGAAGCTCCTATTAAAATAAACTTTTTTTTAAACAAGCCTATGATATCAAATTCAGCTTCCATAGTTTACAAAAAAAACATTGAAAAAAAGATCTAAAACAAACAACCAAATATAAATCAATATTTCAAAATTTATTTCTTTTCTATTTCAGATACTATAAATATTACCAACATATTCTTCTCAAAAGTCAATAATGACACAGCAAAAAACCAACCACAATAGTGAAACATCAGTACTCTTTCAACTAGGTTCATTTGGATTAAAACAATGTTACTGTTTACAACAACTTCAACAACAGCAATATCAAAACAACGAAAAAAAAAGCAAAAAAAAATCAATTCAAACAAACCGAATCAAACAACAGCAATACCATTCATTCAACAAATATCAACAGCAGAATAATGATTTGTGAATTGTTTCTTCTATTATAAGATTGTTAATTTATATTATTTTATATATTTTAACTATTTTATAAATTCTTGAAGATTTTAGAATTTGTTTTGAATTTTCGTTTAAGAGTAATTCAAGATAATTCAAGCCATCTGATGAGACCCTTTAGCAAGGTCGAAACTAGTCATGGCAGCTTATTCACACCCACACCCTCAACGCGTCGTAAGTAGCTTTGAATCTAAAAAATTCCATTCTAAACACACCAACACCCTACAGTTACTTGATTTTATCAACATATTTGTATGAGATGTTAACTCTCTCTATAGATATGCCAGATATAAATTTAAAATTTTGATTTTTTCTTTAAAATCATTGAATTTTCTTTAAGCCATCTGATGATCTGCGTTGCTGCAGTGAAATCTAGATTATGGTAGCTGTTCACACCCAAAACTCTTAGTAACTTTCTCACTACACCTCTATCTCTATTTAGAAGTCTAATTCCATACTTTGAGGAGAATTCGAAAAAAACATCAACATCATCGATAACAATATACCACTTACAATTCTAGATGAAATAATACTCCATTTATCAAATTCGCATGAAACTGAATCGGTTAAAGCCAACTTTTTATATTCTTCCGCATCAGCGATGATTCAAATATACAACTTCACAATTTAAACCCACTGGAAGCATCCTTGTCCTGATACGGCCATATAAATACAACAAAACCTATTAATGTGAGTGAAATGCTTTCCTAATTTTTCTTCAAAATTTTCAACTCTGAATAACCGAAAAGAACTCCTATGACACGCAGGCTTATAGTCTAACGTTAATTATGATTGAAAATGTGAAAATGTAAACCTCTTCAAACATCTGACTATTGCATCAGCAAATAATTCGAATCTTACCTGTCACAACAAGATAAGATTAAGCCCTGATCGAAACGCGTCGTTAGTAGCTTTGAATCTAGAAAATTCCATTCTAAACACACCCACACCCTCAAGTCTTGGTAGCTATTCACACTACTGTATATGGATAATATCATTGTATATTATAATTTATTTTTGATTTTTGTCAAAAATTTTTCGTAATATATAACAGTATATTTCGATCTTGTGATTTTTGATCAATTAGATTATTTGCCAACTGATGATTCCCTTAAGCAAGGATGAAACTAGTCTGGGTAGCTATTCGCACCAGGGTTGCCACCTGACGAAGTCCAAAAAGCGGAAAGCTGAACTTAAAAAGAGGAAAATAGCGGAAACTAAAAACAAAAAAAGCGGAAAAAAAAGCGGAAACCTATTTTTTATAGATTTTTAGCATTTCTGAGAATATGAGGCAGTTTTTCATATCTATATCTATGGTATTTCGTTTTATTTCAGCAAAATTTCAAAACATATAAAAGACAAAATGAAAAAAAATATAAATTTTACTGGACCCGCTGTTTTTTGAATGCATATTTGTT